TTTTCCACATAACTTGCTTTTTCTATTTAAAAAAACCCAAAAAACCCCAAACCTCTGTAACACTCTATAGCTTCCATGTATTTTTAATTAATATATGAAAAAAGCAGTTATTTTTCAAGTCCAGATTGTTTTGTCAACAGATCACCTCTGGGCGTGTAGTTCAGACACACTGAAATTAGAGCTTTGGCAATAGTTAAATTCTTTCCACAGTGCCTTGCCTATGCAGTTATGCTGACACAGTAGATTTTTAGGTTGTACCATGGCTCGGATCACCAAAACAATCACTTTTAACCAGGAGCCATCCAGTAGTCACATTTACATCTCAGTCTTATCATTAGTTGTATTAATACAGTTGAGGACAATGTATGACAAGGAAGAAAAAACAGATGAAAGGGAGAGAGTACCTTAAGCCAGCATTGCCACCAAATACATGATGATGAATACTGTCACCAAGGGACTGCTGCTGTACAGAGAGCCTGTGGGACAGAGAGCTTGATGGTTGCTACAGCAGGGTTGTGTGTCATAGGTTGCTGCCTTGCACCAGGTATATGATGGAGGAAAAGGAGACCTGTGTGTTGGCTCAGAATAGGAATTGTGAATTAAGCAGGAAGGCACTGTTGAAGTTACTGCTGAATGTAACAGTCCTCATACAGAACATCAAAGGTGGTGTGCTATGTCTGATGTGTTGTCGCAGTGAAGTCACTGAGAACAGCTGCAGTCCATTTGTAACTTTTAGAAGCAAGAGAGCTGCTGGTGAGGAAGCCTGGCACATCTCGGCTGAGGAGGGCTGAGCATGAAGCTTACCTGACACTATCTTTGCACTTTGTCGCAGCAGCTAAATCTGACATTTAGCAGCACGCTGTTGCAGCCTGTCCCCCTCAGAGATGCAGCTGATTATCAGATTCTAGGTGGGGCTGATCCACAGCATAAGGTACTTTTGGAAGCTAGAACTGTCCTATTTAACAAGGCCATGTACTCAAAGGTGTCACTGAAAATTTAATTTTCTAGCACCAGTGTAGTGCTGCAACCTGTCATATGACCTGAAATCAATTAAAAGTGTCTTCATGACTGGAAGGCTTTTTCTTGGGAATACCCAAATATTCTTGTAATCATCATGGCCTACATGGAACTCCTCTGTGCTGTACTGTCTGGGGACTTACGTAGGTTGTGGATAATCAGTGGAACTAGAAACAAATTCTAAAATGTACTTGCAGATTACGATCTTAATAATGCCTGAAAGCATTTTTTTTTAAATGAAATTTGAGGTTATTTTAATTAAAATCAGGTTTTAAGTCTAATTTACTGTTCATTTACTTTTTGCATTGCATTCAGCTTCTAGGGAAAAACCATACCACGTAACTCCATTAACCTTTGTAGTCTGCTGTACTTCTGGTTGTTCTGTCTGAGTCAATGTTTGAGCAGTATATAACTAAAGAAACTGTTAACACTGCCAGGGTAATACTTTAAGAGGTGTGTGTATTGTATGCTTTTAATATTTTCAGTTTGAAACAAAGTTCTGAGTTTAGTTAACTAGTTTGCTACAGCTTCCTAGGTGGCCTTGACCGGTCATCACTTGATACCTTAATGAAACCCACATCTGAACAAAGTTGTTCTGGGGATGCATTCATTAGAGGTCTGTAATAATGAAATATTGAATATGAAATGTTATAAAGAAAACCAAATACTGTAATAATGAAAGCTCAGTAAGTATCCAGAAAATAGAAGAAAAATTGAATTTTGAGGATTTTTTTAAAATTAATTTTAATGCATTTTTTTTAAATTAATGTTTGGATTTTCAGGACTTGTACTGTGTATCATTTGAGAGAGAAATTTTTCATTGATGTTACCTAGTACCGTTGCTGGTAGCATTGAAAAGGGGAGTTGAAAAAGGAATAGTGGGCTGTTATTCACAGTATGCTTCACAATAGGATAAATAAGTATAGTGTGTATTTACCTGCTTTTTTTTTCCTGGAACAAAAATTACTTTATTTTTTAAATCTATCTGATTTAGGTTACAAGTTTGCTTTTTCTTTTCTGCAGTCCTGAGGTGAACTGAAAGAGATGAACCCTCTTTTACAAATATGAGTGGGAGGGTAAAAGGGGCGAGGGGGATTGGGAGTTATTCAGATATCAGCCATGTAACTTGACAGCTTTGTAAACAGAGCACTTAGAAAACTGGTGCAAATCAGTTTTGCACATGTACTGATACAAGATAAACAGTCGCTTTACCTTTGCTGGACTGCTAAGTTATGAAGTCCAAGATTTCAAAGGATTTGAATCCATTGTCTAAATCATACCCTTCAATTTGGGGATTTTGGTTAATTATGGCTACATATCTGTTTGAAGTTCTGCCTGGTTTTACAAGCTTAAATATTTATTTGCACCTGCCAGGCAGTTAACTACTTCAAGTATTATGTGAACATAAAAAGCACATACATAAAGTTGTAGTTGTTGTGAATTATATTTCTAGAATTCCTGGCAAGGATTTAGAAGCCGTCCTTGAAAAGACTGGAGACTGTAAATTCCTTGGGCAGAAGATTTCTTTATATTGCATCCACCATTGTTATAGCTTTAAAGTAAACCATTCCACATTACAAAGGACCACTAAGATGTGTCCATGCATCCAGCTACAGCAAAGCAGATCTGATAGAGCTAGAAACAATTTACTCAAGCTTTCGTAGTTTGGGCCAGTGAGTTGAAAGCATTTAATTCTAGCTTTATCTCTGGTGTTTGCTTGTTTTTAATCAGAAACTTCAAAGGTAGTCTGGAAAGGAAAACTTTTAAGGCTTAAATTAACTTAATTATATTTGAAAGTTTACTAGGACTTGGGAGAGACTGATTCCAAGTGATTTATCTAAAGTTACAAACATGTGGTTTGACTGAGCTTTATAATATATCCTATAATGTTACTATTTGGATGATCAAAACAGAAAAAGTAGTTTTTTAGAAAGAATTTGTCAAGTAATAATGAGATTCAATGGAAAAGTTTATTTAGACTTAGGAGGACTAAAACCTTCCTAACAGAAGTTAGTCTGGTTCCATTCTGTGGTGCTAATTGTGTAGCTTTGTATGCAGCTTAAAATTGCATAAATGAAATAGAGTGTAAATCTGAACACAGTAAGATATTTTTAGATTACATAAACCAGAACTGCTAGGGAGCTCTGTCGTTTTGGCATTGATTCCTAGCAGAAACCAATAGGTTTGAAATAAAATGGTAGAAAATTTTCTGTTCCTGAAGTGAATAATAAAAAACCCCATGAAATATTTTTATCTCCTTTTGCCTACCAGCTGTATTAGGACAGTATCTTACAGAAGGATTGTGCTGTACAGTGTATGAAACTGTAGTATGCTTTTCTGTTGTTGTTACTAACCAATTATTCATCTGTCTGCTCCTTAATCTGAAAAATAATCATTAGTAAGAAACTACATTTAAGCTAAAAAAAAAAATAAAAATGAAAATTTAGTTTTACAATTCCTGGGTCTACAGACAGAGGAAGAAGACTATTTTTAGTGTCCTTTTGTAGTTGCTTTCTTAGAATTGTTCATTTGCTGCATACTTGAGTGCTTATTCTTCTTTAGAGGACAGCAAAGATTATTTTTAACATAAAGGAGAATTGAGAATAGTTAGAATGCCCAATAAAATGCATCTGAACTTGTTCATTGCTACTTTATCATTGCAAATCAGAGGCACTATACATACATACTGGCCAGCTCCATTACAAAGCTTGTTCCATAGATGTATTCTCAATTCAAAACTTTGGAGAAGTCAGGGTACATTTCTGAGGTTCAAAGCTTTCTTTACTGCAGCAGATTTGCTTAGGTGAGCAATTTTGAAACACATGGGTGTGTTGTGGAGGAAACTGGTGGAATGTTCTCTTTTAAGGTGCCCCAGTTGAAGATTTCCTGCAGTTCTCCCACTGGGGAGATGCCCTGTTCTTCCACTGAGACCACATATTGGAGAAGAAGGTCCCCACATTGTGCATTTCTCACCTACTCCCTTCCCAACAAATCCTTTCCAGCAATTTGTGGTGTTCTATTTTGCAGTGTGTCACCAATGCATCAAAACTAACTCTGAAGGACTACAAAATATTAATACAATATTAAGATGAGGAAGAGGAATAGCAAATTTTAGTAACTTGGTAACTCTATTAAATAGTGACAGAAAAATGAAATAGATAGATAATTCTCAATAATTAATTTGTAGAATTCAGTCCGCAAACTACTACATCATATTTGGATGAAGTGTTTCTCTTTGCAGCCTGTCAGTTGTATTAGGTGTCCTTTTGCAACTGAATGGAAATGCTTTCTTTAAACAGCTACATTTGGTATAACCAACCATAGTGATATTCCTTGTATAATAAAATATTGTGCCTCTCTGTGATCTGCAGAGCTATTAAACTTTTCCAGCAGTTTAAGACCTGTTAGAACTGGAGTGGATTGAGCTTCTGATATTCTTAATGGCTAAGCAACGTTTCATGCCTAGCTGATGGTCATTAACCAGCTCTGTTTTATTTGGTAACAGAAATTCTAAGCCTTTGAAGATCAGTGCACTCTCTTTGGCAATTAACTTTGTTCACCTTAGCTATGAACCTTAATATCAAAGTGCTTCTTTGCTGTTTTTGTAACTGAATAAGTGCCTTTATACTTCACTTGTCCCAGTTTCTGCACTTTCACATGACTGACCTAATTAAAAAACAGACAGCTCAATAATTCCACCATGAGCTAGTAATAATGAAACTGTGGGAGTCCTTGAAGCCCTTTATCATTCAAATACACAGTGGTTTCATGAATAAAGTGGAAGACTAAGTATTACTTATACAAGTAAGGGAGATTATTAGCAGTGGAAGACACATTTGAACTCGCTGAAATGATGGCTTTTGTCTCGAGAAAGACCTACTCTCAGTAATAATTACACTAGGTCTTCATTTTATCCCAGCATTCTCTTCTTGTTCATGCTTTCAGTGACTGAATAGCCTGCTATTGCTTGTTAATCCCTACAGGAATGCGGCTTTGGATTTGGGGAGGATGCACAGTGCATGACATGCAGGCCAAACAGATTCAAGGAAGACTGGGGCTTTCAGAAGTGCAAGCCTTGTCTGGACTGTGCATTAGTTAACAGGTTCCAGAAGGCCAACTGTTCTGCCACCACCAATGCCCTGTGTGGAGACTGCTTACCCGGGTAAGTCCATTTCTGAAAATGAGACTTGAACAAACTCAAAACTAATTTGCTTTAACATTTGCTTGTTCATGTTTTCTGGATGAGTGTTTGTATCCTTCATGTGTGTATGAAGGTTCTAGGTTCTAACCTTGGCCTTTCAGTAAATTACTGTATGGTCTGAGCACATCATGTCAGAGTTACAGTCTTACTTATCTGTAAAAATGGTTTGATAATTACCTAGATGATCTATGAGAGTGTTGTCTATACAGCACCTGAGCAAAATACTTAAAAATACTGAGTGTTACTGGTGACTTACTACATTCTTATAAAGAATTACACATTTGGAAACACACACTTACCTTCTTGAAGACTGGTTACACTATTTGGTTGCTTTCTTGCCCCTCCTGAGGTCAATGCTTAGTAATTCTCATAAACTTATATCCTTAAGTCAGAAGTAGTGGCTGTGGCTTATGGTCCTGAATTTCCTTCACCATGTTGATAAATTCATGGAGCATGATCCTGGCTGAGAAGCATAAATGGATCTGAAAGAACTGTTGTGAAACAAATTATAACAGTGTCGAGACTCATTAAAGCTGCTGTGTTTAGTTTGTTATCCAGTCTTCCCAGATCTCTGTTGCTAGTATTAAGATCTTGAAAAGGCTACTCTTTACGTTATGGCCAAGTTCCACTATTATAAATACATATCATGAATTTGTTAAAAGGCATTTCTGATAATTTTCTGAACTGTGGATTAGTAATTTGTTAGGCACAGACTGAGAACTCATTTTTGCAGTTTTAACAGCCTTTGTATTTTCAGGGTATGTATTTCAGAAATGTTTAAAATTTGGTATGTGTATTTCTTGTATATCTCAACCATATATATATATAGAGAGAGAGAGAAAATATTTTTTTAATCAAATGCCTGAACACTATAGAAACTCATACAGTTGTTCCTGTTGAGCCAGAAGTGATGTATTTTAATTTAAAAACACTAAAACTTTGGTAACTAATGTTAGTTTAAGTATAAGAAAGTGCAGCCACAGGTGTTAGATGTTACTCACTTTTGATACTACCTGCAGCCACATAGTGGATTATTTTATGCTTTTATTGCACATAAATAAGTATGGTAGGGCTTCTTTGGCTGTCAGCAGGGAGAAAATTTTCTTCCTGTGTAAACAATATAAGCTAATTTTTGGAATATGAGGAAATAACAAAGAAGAAGCTAGAATAAAACATGAATTAAGGGTAAATCCAAACTGGGGACTTGGGAATGCTTCTCAGTATTCTAGTCTAGAATGTGTTCTAGATACATGTGTTGAGTACTTGTTAAAATGAGAGCTGTTGCCACAACCTTCTTTTACTGACAACAAAGTTGGAAACATGGGGAGGGAGTCATGGGTCGGGGAGTCACAGGTCATCTGGTCTGGATGTTTTGGGGAACCAGGACTGTAGAACATGCCACCACTCATACCTGTCCATCAGTTTTGATGTTGCTAAGCAAATGGAGGATATAGCTAGTCAAACCAAATGATTTAGCTATTGTTTTATCTCTCAGCAATCATATTTACTTCTGTTTTGCACGAGTTTCCAACATACTATTCCCTATTTTTCAGCTTCAAAATGCTACAGTGAGCCTGTCAGCTAAAAACAAATATTAACACATTTCACTCAGTGTAAATTATGGCCCCTTCAGTCTCACAGCCTATGAATCTGTTTCTGTTCACGGTTTCTTGAGCAGTTGGAAAGCTGTTTGCTTTAGCTGATACAGTGTTCATAGTTCAACAGCATTTGTGGTGCCAGTAATTTAACATCAGTAGAGTTAGCACTTTTTATTTAATGTCCCACTACCACTACAGAAAAAACTAAATTCAAGTATTCCTCTTGAACAGACAATGGATATTGATTCTAGCTTAGTACTAATGACTAGTTGAGAGAAAAACAGACCTACTTGATTAGGCAACTGTAGTGGGTAAGTTCTTTAGAGGATGTCATATTCTCACATAAATTTGAAATACAACATTCTAAAGTTCTAGTTTTTCATTTGGTGTACCTCTTGTTCCCTGGTTGTATAGAATGTTCCCTGCAATGTAGGCTTCTGTCTGTCATTGTATTCAGTAGGCTTTTGAAACATAAACTCAAAGTTATTGAAGGATCTTTAGAATAAAATGTCTCCTTGGGTATAACAGCTTTTAAAAAATATTTTTGCATTAATTCCTTTAGGAATGAGTGATTAGTTAGTTTGCTTTTAGAGTTTTATTTTATCATTCATCTGTGACTGCTTGTGGCCTCCCATTGCTATTACTTATCTAAACTATCTGATACTTCTGTTTGCAGTATCTTTTTTTTTTCATACCTTAGAATACTTCTTATCTAGAATTTTTTAAGTATACATCGAAATGAAAATATGAAAGCAAAGTGGATAATTGGATACTGTACACAGGGACTCATGCAGTCACTTTTTGCACAGTTTGCATTCTCAGTCCATGCATATTGTGATTTTGGTTGCAGGTGAAGGTCTTCCTGGAGGAGGAGTCTAGGAGGAGTTGTTGATTTGTTGAAATATGTTTCTAAAAAGCCATTTTTACTGTTTTGTTGTTCAACAAAATAATCAGAAAAATACTGTTTTCTGAATATTTTGTCACACAGCAGGCTAAATCATTTTGGGGGGGGGATGCCATTCTGTACAAGTATATAAATTAACCAATCTGAGTGATTTTTCCTTCTGAGTTTAGAGGGTAGCTTAGAGATTTTAACTAGAAAGCATTGCCATCTGGTCCATTATATACTGTTAGTGGTGATAATTACCTTGTAATATCTTGTTTCTTTTAGGAGAATTATGTAAGTTAATCAGTTCAGTGTTACTTTTTTAAATGTGTAAATAAGCTTGTGTAGTATAAGTTCATCATACTTGTCCTGTGTGTTGTGATCTATGTGGAAAATGGGATGTTGATTTCTTCTGAAATCTGCAGAATTGTTTGTTTCATATGTGAATATAAGATGATAGTGCTATGTATTTGGACTAAAAGATTTAGGATTTTTCCTCAATGTACTCTAGGTCTACTGCTATTCTATGAATTAATATCTACTGCATTTTTGTTTACTTTTATTTCCTGATAGTTTGCATGGGGACATGGATTAACTAAAGTTTGTCGTTAGAGGATTTTTTTAAAACATCTGATTAATTTTGTGAGGAAAAACAACTGAATTTTATTAACTGTTTTTTCATTCCTTTATCTTCTAGATTTTATAGGAAGACTAAGCTTGGAGGCTTTCAAGACATGGAGTGTGTTCCTTGTGGTGATCCTCCTCCTCCCTATGAGCCTCACTGTAAGTGCTCTTTTAGAATGTTTTCTCCTTTAACTTGAAAGCTTGGCAAAAAACAACAGTCACAGTTACAAATAATTCTTCTAAGGGCTCATTTTCTTGTTAGTAACTTATTTTGTTAATACATCTCAGCAGGTCCAGCACTATCATTGCAAAGTTCCCTCGCATAACCAGTCACTTGAGGATAAACATTCCTGTCATACCACGTAATTAGGGAGTCTTGAGTCCACTTCTGATGTTGTCATATTAAGTTTCATTTCTGTTTCGTGTTAATGCCAAAATAAAGGTACTCTTCCTTAGACCCTCTGCCTACTGTCAGGTAGGCGTCAGTGAGTATTAATTCTTTTCTGACACTCAAAACAGCAATTTGTTGATACCCTTGAAAATAACTTTTGTACTAAGGTCACAGCGAGAGAGAACAATATAGATAAATATCTTTATAGTACTATATACATTAAGAAGGAAACGTGTAATTAGTTTATCTGTTTGTTTTTGGCCAATGAGAGGATTAGAATCTCATTAAAAGGAGAGAACCTCTTTATTTTGCAACAGAAGCCTTTTTACTACTTCTTCCAAGACTACTGATGATCTGCATCCCATCAGGTTTTTAATTCAATAAAAAGAGTAAATTATCCTTGTTGCATTTATTACTTTATAATATGAAAAATAAAATTGCTTCAACATAATTTTGTGGAAAACCTTGGCTTTATTCATTTGTTTCTGTAACAGTAAATTCATGTTTTGGGAGTTTTTCCCCATTCCAAACAGAAACAATTATTTATAGAAAGAATCAGTTGTCAACTTCCTGAGATGTATGTTTCATGCTTCTTTAATAAGGGTACACTGTTTCTTATAGACATTCTTTTTCAATTGTGCTAAATTATAATATAACTAAGTGAATGCTTTTGTGCATTAAAATCCTACTTTTAAATGGTTTTATACTGTATTGAATGTAATAAGAATTTTCAGCATTTAATATATTGCTTAGATAGTAATTTTCAAATGTGCCAGTCTTCCTTCGTTTGCCTCCATGCTAGTTTTAGTGCCTTTTAGAGAATAAACTTACAAAAACAGATTATCAGACAGTATCTTTAGTAGTAAAAGTTTTTTACAAATGTGGCTTCCCATGCATTTCTTTTATGTTTGGAGAGAATTTCATTATATACCTGTGAATTTATTTTTTAATACAGATTGCAACATTGAAGACCAGTAAATCAGATTTCTGTAAAAAGAACAAGTCAAATATGTTAGTGTTTTCAGGAGTGGCTCCTGCCAATATATAACATAAGCCTAGAAAGTAGATTTAAAATTTTTCAACTCTTCTTGTAGTACAGACAACACTGTTTTGCTTGTGGTGATTTAATTTTTTTCAGTATATAGCTATTTGGATTTTCTAATTGACCCTAAACTTGGATCCTAAATTGAACCATTTGGAAGCTACTACTGATTTTAAGTGTGCAACAAACATCCCTATTGAAAAGAGCATTTTCTCTGGAACAAGCTTCAATGGTAAATCCAGATTAGAGGCTTTTTTGTTCCCTAATATCATGGCTGTGACAAAACCTATATCTAAGTAACAAGAGAAGTGTCTGCAAGTGTTTTCACATTTCTGGTAGCAGGTTGTGTTCATTGGCAACTATTTACAGCTTTTATAGAAACAATGATAAGTTTTAAATAATTAAAATGTTCTTAATTTGCATATTAATTGGCCATTAAAATCTTAAATAATGGGAATCCTACCATAGAGTATGATTACCATATGTCAGTGGTTTTCAGAAAGCTTTTGTTTGGAAGCAGTGTATTGGTTCTTCAGGTCTATAACATAAGATGTCTCTGTTTAGAAGAGTGTGTGTGCCTTCCTCAGAGCAGCCTAGGAAATTATTCCTACAAGAGTAGGTAAATGAACTGAAATCTGTTTGAGTTTTACTTAACATCGAATAGGTGGAAATATCTCAGATTTAAGACTAAGTCAAAAACATGATTCTGCAAGGAAGTATAAATAATGGTTTTTGACAACAAGCTTTTTCCACTTAAGGCTGAAAATGTTTGCTGTTTATTTCAATAATGAATATATTTTGATAGTTAAGATGTTTAAGACTGCATTACTGGAAGTTAAATGGAGACAGACCATTAGGAGTATGGGGAAAGTTCTCAATGATCAGAGGACTAAGTTCTAATTCTCTTCCTTTCTTATCCTTCTTTCTTTCCACTGTGAAACAAAGTCAAATATTAGTGCAGCTAACTCTTACATTACAGATGAAAAGGAAAAGTTTAAATGTCCTGTTTCAATGAATGAATTGTCCTGTGAGGTGTGTGGCAATCTTTTGTTTGCTTAAGGACATTACCATAAGGGCACAAAGGCTCACAGCCCCCTACCTGGACTAAAGGTTCATATTAAAGCTGAGCCATGGATGAAGTTCTTTCAGCACTAGTAGCAGTTGATCATTACCCAGTTAGCTATAAATCTAAATACTTGCTTTTATCTTCTTTTTTTCTGTAGACATTTTAAAATAGATCTGGCTTAAATATTTACTCATGAAAAAATGAGTTTGTGAATTGCTAGAGGCAAAGTTGAAAGGATTCTATAATGAACAAGTAAAGAGAGTATTACAGGCCAGGAGAACTGCTATCACCTTTGTGTAAACTTTAAAGGGGACAGAATGACTTATGTGTGTTTTTAGGATGTCAGAAAAGTAAATACACACTGATATAGTTATATTTTAATTTGCTTAGTTCAGGTAAATAAACTGTAAATACCAATCCTATATATAGGGTCAGCATCTAAACATTAGATTAGAAATTAAAGCATGCTTTTAAAATTACTGCTTCTGTTCATTTTCTAAACTGAAGACATTTTTCTTACCTGAAGACATTTTTTTCTCAACTGAGTGACAGAAAGAGTCCTTTGAAGTGGGAATTAGAGTGAAAACCCAATCAATCAAAGATGTAATTTCTGAAATGGAAGGTAATGTAGACTGTCTCAAACTGGTATCTGTTCAGCAGAGAATGTGTGACATGGGTACAGTACAATTACTCTTTTTTCTCTGCACCAATTTAGGCTTGCAGCATTCAGTCTGCTCAGGCTAGTGTTGTGCTGCCCCAATGGTTATGCTTGAACTGTTACTGCAGCTCTTCAGTAAGCAAGATTGTGACCCTGTCCATGTTATAAAAAAATTTACAATAACTTCTTTCTTAATACTATTTTTAAACCTATTGAGTTTTTTAGCCCTAAAACACTTTATGGTGGCACAACTGATGGATAAATGTGGGTAAGGCTGGCATAGAAAGCAAATGATTTTCCAAAGATAATTGTTTTATTTGATCAAGCAGGATGTTTCCAGCTTGTCTGTCTTAGCAAGTGAACAAAAAACATTAGAAGCCATACTCTTTATCTTCCTTCAGTCATAAGAAGATGGGAGATTAAAATTAAAGCAATAGCCAAGCTGATAAAATAATGCCATGTCAGATGTTCCAACAAATGGTTCCTGTTGTATTGTTCAATTAAAAGTGCAGAACAGCATCAGAGTTACCAGAATCCTTTAGCCTCTGGACAGGCTTTCTGCTAAGCACAAAAACCTGTGACATTGAACTTCTTTGAGCTGTATTAAAAAAATAGTTCCTAGCACTTCCACATTACTGTTCTTTTCTGGACTAATCTGCAGTCACTGGTGCTCCTCTGTGAAAATTCAGTCTAGAATTGGGCTGTCCAAATGGTTAAATTGGAATAAATTGTGGGAATCAGGGAAGAGAGGAAATTAGCCCTAGGTGGCAAGTGCGTTTTGCAGCCAAGCTGCCACCAAAAGAACAGCCTGGTCCTTTTTTTTAAAATTATTTTTATTTTTATCTGCACTATTATATTAAAAAAAAAAATAAATAATAGCACAGTATGTCCAGCCAAACTAATTTTTCCATCTCCAGGACTACTACTGCTTGTCTCCATGACATAAAACAAGGAGCATGGGAAGTTGTCGGGGGGGGACAGGATGGGGGTGGGATACCATTCGATGTGGAGCTTGGGAAACTAGCCTCTACATGTTCCAGGAAATAAATGCATTCTTCGCTTCAATGAAGCAGAAATGTTTTGTTGAGTAAGTCACAGCAGAGGAAATATCTGCAGTTTGATTATAACATCATGTGCATTTGAAGTGAAACTGCACTTGGGTCAAAAATTGCTACTTTTTTTTCTGTGAACCATGTTTTGAGATACTGATTGTAGTGGTTTCAAATATAAAGAATTATCTCAAACTACAAAACAAACAGTTTTTACTAAGATGGGTAATGAAAGTAATGACTATGGCTTGTTGAGACAAAGTATTTGTAGTAAATAATAGGGAAAATATTACATTTTCCTGTGAGGTGTCCATATCTTACCTGCATTAAATTTTGTTTCTTAAGGAACTTCTACAACACTTTGACAACCTCCATTAAGATTGATCACAAAGCTCCATTTACAGTTTTCTTGTGTAGATTTTTTCTTTAATTATTTTGCTTCTGTATGTTTACAGAATAATTTCTCTAAGAATTAAATATGTGTCCTAAGCTGCAACTGCGACTCCCTCTTTAAATCTACAGTGTATGTTGTTTCATTAAAGAAAGGTGCTATTTAAGGAGTAAAATGCTGTGGTATTTCCTTCTTCCTGATGTTAAAAGTAGCTAGGATAGAAAAAGTAGGATTTGGTATAAATCCTCTTATTTACATTTACAAGATTAGGATCTGTGATTTTGTAAACTTTTATATGAGTCTAAGGGGTATTTGGGGTATGCAAGGACTCTACTTCAGAACAAAGCAGATAAAAAGCTAGAAATTACAGTCTGCAGGGGGATACTATAGAGTGACAAAATACATTATTAAAAAGGGGGGTGGGGCTGGAAGCTTGCTGACTACATATGTATTCTGTAAAACACTTTATCGTGGTAAAAGAGAAAAATGCCCACTGTCTCAACTTTGATGTAGTTTTTTATATTATTTCATTAAGCCTAAATACAGCATTTTAACTTGAGAG